AGTTTATTTTTATTATAAATAAATTTGGTCTATTCGCTTATATAATTTGGTCACATGACCATTCATAAAACTTCTATTACTATACTAAGCCAATCATACTTTATTTGAAAGCAAATGAATTCTTCAACGCAAACTAGCATGGATATTGGGTAATTGCTCAATTAACGTTGATGTGTCGTCTAAGATTCTAGATGCTGAAAGAAGGAAAAATCGTCAACAACCGCCAAAGAAACCGCGCATTTGCGCAAGGTGCAAGTGGAGACGCAGCTGTACCTGAAGCGTCTGTCATCCTTTTACACTCCGAAACCGCTCGCAAAAAATTACATTTTTATTCTTAAAACAAGGCTCCGTAACATATACCTATTGTCGGAGCCACTCGCGAGCCTTTCAGCCGTGGCGAAATACGAAGCCGACCTCGATCAAGCCATCGGGGCATGTACGAAGGAGAATGATAAGAAGGATCCGGATCATCCATTAGCTTGTGGGATATTTGATCTCACGAAGAGAAAGAAGGATATGATGGAACAGAGGCTTTCATCAAATATGGATCACCAGATAGCTCGTTGGTATGGTGACAGGCATGTTAATATTAATAGGCTCTTAATTTTACAAATTGTGCCTGGACATTACGATGTAAATACAGAAATAGTCAGAATAATGCAGGCTGTAATTGACTATTAGTGAGAATGGATGTTATAGTTATGCCTGTGTATGTGAGCTAAAACATAGCAATTGAATTCAGTGACTATATTATATATTGCGCATGCATATCAATCATGTTAAAATAAATTTATAGTTGCTTCAGTAATAAGTAAACGGTCACTGCAGATATTAATATGTATACCTTATTATATAATGAATATGATTTATTATTCAATTGGTTTGAATACAAATTAAAATAAATTTAACATTCATTTACCAAGTTCAACTTAAATCAACCAAGAAAACTTCCCAATCAGACCATTCAAATCCATCTGAAATGGATCTCAGTGGTTTTTCATATGATTCTTTCTGTGCTGCAGCATCATTATCATGTCCAAACCACAGATCAATTCCATTGTAACCAAAGGCAGGATTGTAATCATTAAAATCATAAACAGCATGCTCTTCATCAACAACAAAGCTTACTATACTATTGTCTAGCATATTTTTATCCAATGCAAACAAAAAACTTTCTGTAGTTGAAATGTATGTATTTGGATAAGTACCCCATGCCACTGGATTATATCCACCAAGTATTTCATCTGTATCTGACGTTTTCCCAATAACAATTGTAGCCCCTTTGTGTTGGCACTTTTGTCGAAAATTTACAACACCATCACTATCCTTGCTTTGTCTATAGAGTAAGGTTAGTTTGTGTGAAGAATTTCGTTCAGCAAATACATCTGGTTCCTCTTGGTTTGTGAATTCTGCAATTTTTTGTAAAATCCATTCTGCTTGCTGCTTGTTAATGATAACTGAATCAAACTCAGGAACCCGTCTTTTTCTTGGTGGCAGCATAGGAATTTTTGATACGTGGCCCTCTCCCATATGATAATTGATTGTATCAGATTGTAGCTCTTTTGGCAGCAATTCAATATATGGCATGACCTTCTCATTAAATGCTTTAGAAGAAATACCAAAGAATCTGATATGAGGTATCAAGTCTGCAACAATAGCCTTGACTGTATTGGTAGTATTTGATGTCCAGCTTGTTGGATTATCTACAAGACCAGGAACTTGTTTAATAGCCCATTGTATGGCTGACATCCAAATCTCATCTTCTTCCATGTTAAGCTCTTCATCCTTAAGAAGGATTACAATGGTCTCCTTTGATAGACTTGCAACGTCATTAGATGTGAGAATAATGTCTGGAGATGACACCATGACTTGATTACAATAACTCAAAAGTCTATGTAATGAGCTTGAGGATAAAGCACATTTGGAAACTGTGAGAATGTTTTGCCATATCCATTTCTCTTGTTGAGTGATCAAATAATCTTGGATTGCAGTAATAAGATTATCTAGCTCAAACATGTTGGCTCCTTCCAAAAGAGCGATCCAATCGAGACCTTCACTTGAATTATACACTACTTTTCCGGTGTAGATAAATCTATAGAATTAATAGACGGTTAAAATAATGCTCCTTTCAGCGAATGAATAATCATTTAAACGTTCTAGTCTTTACCTAAGCAAAAGTTCAAAGATACCAGGCGTCACGTCTTTATATACCATGACTACTTGTTGCAGTTCATTAGTTCTGACTGGATTGCGGGTGAATTCACTCTCGAAAAATGCGCTTCTTGTGCGCAAAACCAGAGTATGGGCAAGAAACACTTTGTAGTCTGGCTCTCTTCCGATATGAATCGAAACGTCGGCGTATTTTCCGCTTTCATAGAGCCTCTCATAGCCTGATGAAAGTCCCAAAGGCAAATCGACTATGTCCCCCATTTTTGAGGCGTAAAGTTTTAAGAGTAAGACTCGACATCGATATCTAATATCAGCTGAGTTGTGTGTAACACTGATTTGCAAATAAAGGAATTCAATAAACAGTATAGATATCGATTGCTATATTACTATGCTTTGAGATGTCATAGTTGGCATTTTGTATTTTAGTTAGTCAATAAGCTTTTCGTGCGCAATGCTTCGCACAATTTTGGATTGTAAGCATATTTCTCTTCAAGTTTTCGTAAACAACTATGACCAATTATTTATGACATTCGAGATTGGGCGGGTTATCGAATCCATAGTTGAACGTGACTTTTGCTTATTAATAACTGATCGTTAAATATTAGTCACTCGGGAGATTTGGATATTTAAATTTACCGTATGATAGAAAATTTATCCGTCTATCGTTGCTGCTTATCTTGACCTTACCGTCATGATTGTAATTTCTTGGATGCAAGCATTCATATGATGGTCATCAGGCGCTAAACTATACAGTAACTACTACTAACAAAGATCTCAATTCTACTTGTATTTACTTATTACTTGTTGCCACCAAGTCTCCATACGAAAAAAAAAGAAAGTGACTACCATATCGCATTATACAAACTTCTGCTATTGTTGCTGTAGTTTCTTAGTAATAATATCATGATATTCCAGAAATATACGCGAAAGGTTATGGTTCAAATACTCGGCCAAATCTGAGAATGAATAGTCGTGAAATAAGCAACCAAGCGGAATCTCATATAAACGACGTTATTGATGCTCACCTTCTTCTTTTATATCATAATGCATTACGATTACACCGTTTTTGAAATTGCTCTTCTCCCTGGCATTAATCACAATAACGGGTATCTTATTCCACCAAGTCTCTTTCATTTTGTTATCCATGAGATAATTATAAGCAGTGTTCATAAAAGTTAATTTCTGTTCTTTGGACAACGACTCGCCAAAGAACAATAACCGATTAGAACCAACAAATTCATTTAGTAACCATTGATCATGATCGTGTCTTGTTTTATTTCGGATCAATGCAGTAGACGTCTGGTCGAATGCCAATGAATGTTTCAATTCCTCGACAAAGATCTCGCGAAGGGATTTCCCACTATTAATCCCTTTATGTTTGGTGAATTCTTCCAGTTGTTGTTCGACTTGATCGAAAACTTCCGTGTCAATGTGAACTCCAACTTGATGACATAGTGATAAGAAATCATACGTTGTTTGCCATGGCGCAAGGCTACGTTTGCATGACTTTGGAGTCGCAATACTACGTTGAACTTTTTTTAGCTCATCTTCGTGTTTGTAATGAAATTCTAATTCTACCTTGGAGTCTGCGTTTATCTGTGGTGTGCTAGCAGCGCGTTTAGGAATAAGGGGACCAATAACGTCATAAAGTTTTTGTAATGATGCGGCGTTTACCCGCCTTTCTCTTGGGTGTTTATGGAAAAAGTCGGGATGTATGCGAAGGATGAAGGGTTTAAGGTATTGCTTTATTATAGACCCTGATGGATGTAATTTCGCTGTCCCTTGCATTAACGGCAATAGTTGTGCCCCCCCCCCCCCATATTTTATATTTTATGGTATCGGTTGTCCCACCTCAAACTAGGAAAATTTTCCCCGATCTATTTCTTTTCTCGATTCGTTAACATTCACACCATGAAGAAAATAAAGAATAAACGGTCGTTGGCAGACTTGTCTTCAAACAAGGACGAACGAAAACCAGAGAGAAAGCGCAGCAAATCTGTTCCACCACCGTTTTCGTCGTCGCGATCTGAAGACGAGGACGAAATTTACGAATATGAGGGCATGGAGGAGCAACAGACGGAAGACACAACCACGGAAAACACCAACACGGAAGATGGACATATAGAGAGCAATACGAACCAAGACTCGGTTGCGCATGGTTTCAACACAGCAGCAACAAATCCAGCTCCTGCTGATTCAAATCTAGCGGACTCTTCTCAGCACTCGCAAACCCACCCCACGCATCCCTTAAATTCCTACAAAGCACCCAAGAACACTGATATTTATCTTGTACCTCGAACTCCACGCATTCCAAAGACACCAACAGAAAAAGAGAATACACGCCGGCTTATTGTTGTACTTTCGCGGGCGAGTTTAGAGACATTTAAATCAAAGAAAAATAATTCATATCAATTGTTGAATTGTGACGATCACTACGCTCATCTGGATAAAATGGGAAAGACGTTTTCTGATGCCAGGCCGGACATTACACATCAGGTTTGCTTTTTTCAAGTGGGAGTGGGAGGGATCGGATCGGAATGGGATTCGCGTAAGAAGCGAGAAATCGTATGGCCAGAATGTGGGATGATTGGCCTTGTTTCTATTTCGTCAATATTATATGATATATGACATGGTTTGAACAAAAGCTTTCGAGCTGCAGAAATTCTTTTATCGTTGCTAATAATGTGTACACGTGCTCTTCTCCCATTCATCAGTGCCTTATGCAGCTTCTTGACAGTCCTCTAAACAAGGCCGGTTTATTACAGGTCTACATCCACACTGCAAGAAATGTACTGATTGAAGTAAATCCTCACGTGAGAATTCCAAGAACGTTTAAGCGTTTTTGTGGACTAATGGGTGAGTTATCGCAGAAGGCAAACAATCAAGGTGTCGAATTAACATAGTATTGGGGAATGGCTCATTCAATAGATCACGGGATTCATACTATTATTGTGGGGAGGGGAGAGTTATAACAATTGATTTTCTTAATAATCTTCATTGATATTGATCTAGTCCAACTATTACACAAGTTGTGTATCACGTCCGAGAACAATTCCATGAAATTACTTCGCGTTGTCAAGAATCCTGTTACACAATATCTCCCAATAGCGTGCAGGAAACTGAGTAAGTACCATGCTTTTCGCAATAAACTCACCTCACGCCAATTCTCTTCCACACATTCTAACATCGCTATTGCCCAAAGCTCTTTCGTACGACGCACCCACAGTTCGCCTGCAAGATTATCTTCCAACAATCCCACCAGATCATTCTATATGTGTAGCCATAGGAGCAATGGCTCACGGAGAAGACAATTTTGCAGACGATTGGGTAGATGAAAAGATCGGTATATCAGAGTACTCGTTATCTGCGGCAGTGGCATGTTCGAAATTCTGTTGTGCATTGGAGGACTTGTGGGGTATTCTTTAACAGAAAGAACGATTGAATGAGAGAATCGAGTGTTTGAAAAAAGAAAGCGGGAAAATAATGATTGTCAGTGGAGGGCTAATTTATTTTTTGATAATGATCGTAGAGGCGATTTTAGGGTATTAGTTGTTGGAATAAGCAAAAGAAACAAACTATGTTAGATAATCGTAAAAATTCTATAATGCAATCACCTGAGGTCATGTGATCAATAGATAAATTTGATTATCAAAAAAGAAAAAAAAAGCAAACTGCCCCATCCATAAATGTTACATCGTCGCACGTACTCTACTTATCGCCCGCGTTTAACCTCATGGCAAATATATGGAACTCCTATCACTAACATCTTTCTCTATGGTTCCATTACGTATCTCGGATTACACCTAATACATGCAAAACTCGATTTCAAAGAACGTAAGGAAGAAATGGAAGAGGAAATTAAAAAGCTAGAAAAAGAGTTTCAAGAAAAGCAAAGACAACTTGGTAGGTATTCTATTTTATTGAGTGTGGGTTTGATCGCTACAGATATTATAACCAAAACCAATTGCTTTGTGAACAGACTCAAATTCAAATGCCAGCCAGCAATGACAGATAAAAACTGCTTGAATGGACCACATTCTATCATCTCAGTTTCATCTTTCCTCTTCTCCCAAATCGTCTCTCTTCTGCTCTCATTAGTCCGAATATTCACTTCCCTCACCATTTTCGTACATTTTTTAACTCAATTCTTGTCCCGTCTACACTCGTTTTCATATCTCGGAATGATCTCTGTTCCGGCTCAATATACTTTAACTTCAATATGGCAAACACTTGTTCTTCGCTTTGTACTTTCAACGGTGGACCGAGTTCGCCAGTTTCATTATTACGTCGGCAGATAACATAGTCATCTAGATGAAACCCTTGCTCACTTGCATAGCGGCGGAAGTATTTTACAAATTGCTTGTCACCCGTTAAAGCTATTATTCCAGGCCAGTAACGGTCATATGGGAGAAGTCTGTGGGTTAAGGGATGAGCAGAAGTAGTGGATACGACATAATTGAATGAAGGAGGGATGATAATAATGTGAGAATTGGATTGTGGAAAGAATAAGGATAAGGTTGAAGCATAATAGCGACAGATAAGAATTGGCATCGTGCATACAAAATATCACATAATATGTCACACACCTTATCTGTATCCTCCTGTGAATGGCATTGCTGTCTGTGGGCAACTTGCAAACACCCTGCAAGAAATACAAAGTATCTCTATCAATTCTTTCCCCTTTTCATTTTCTGTTCGCAATCAACATTTCCACTGTCCCCTATTCATTCCACTGTCCCCTTCTCGTCTCATCGATTCCCATCCTTACCCAATACTTCAAAGCCCCTGATGAAATATGATCCGTGAGAAAGCCCAAATCCGTCAATGCATCAGTCATATCAAGAAGAAGTTTCCCGGGATTATTAGGGGGAGAAGAAGTATAATTTGGATGAGTTACCGCCATGTTTAGTGAGTGAGTTTCGGGTAGTCCACGTCGACTTTGTCATTGGATAGAGAGACAACGACCTTTGAGTTAGATAAGTAAATACACGGATTGATAGTAGGATGATACGAACCAATGAGCAAATACATTGGAGTAAACCTACTTACTAGTCACCACATGCAATGCCTGTGTACGCCGGACTTAGTTCCTTTAATATGTCTTGAACATAATGCTGCAAATTACATTTGTCAGTAATAACTAATGGTTAAATCGCCGTGCATAATACATCGCCACTCATACTCACTTCTAGCCCTTGAGCCTCTACATTTGGAATCATAAGCTTGAATTCATCGACATACTTGATTCCAAGTTTCTGCATATCGGTTAAGTGGGGGTCTCTCGCTAGATCAGAGAGAGATTTGTACCCTGTTTCTACAAATCTTTTCGCGGCTACTGGTCTTTCGATCAAGATTAGTTACAGATTCGAGAAAAAGAGAACGCAACACGTGAATGAGAGTATGTTGAAGAAATGGTGCGCAAAAGGATGAGATGCGAGACGCGAGGAAAGAGTGTGTATAGATATAGGAACAAGAAGGTTGGTTCAATAGTAAGTGATGCAAGATAGGCGTAAACAGAATGCTCTGAAGAATAACGCATAAGATTGATTGTTGAGAAAATAAAAAAGCGCACCCAATCCCAAATACTTGACTAAAAGTCTCGAATAATTCTGTCTCTTCCCGTTTTTCCTTCAACGATTCACAAGTGCCCTTACATAGATAACATAAGTCAATCCGTTGACCAAATACTTCGCTTCTCACAGCGCGCCATTAACGTCATTGATGTTATAATCGTTTCCAAATTTGAACCGCGTTAAAAAAAAAAGAAAAGAAAAAAGAGCAAGTTAACTACATACTGTTTTAATAATCTCGTCAATTTTATTTGCTATGCTACTCCCAATTCCTTGCAATTTCTTGGCCTCAGCGCCGGAGATTATTCTGGCCGGATAAGATGTTATTACGTGTATAGCATTTTCGTATGCGCGTTGTTTAAAGGGGTCTCCAGATTTACGCTCTTTTTCAAGTAGCGCTATAAATAAAAGGATTTGTTGTAAGTCAAACGCGAGACTTTGTTGATTCTTGATTTGAAACACTCCCGGTACGAAAAGTTTCACAGTAAACTATTCACGAATAACTTCCTTTGCCTCAGTATTTATCTCAATTCTAACGCACACCTTCTAATGCTTTCGTAATATGTTCATTCAAATTAATATCTGATTTCCATAGTTCGTCTGTTGGATCAAACTTGATTTTCTTGTGTTTGCTGGTATCGTTCTTTGGACCGAGGGCGATAAACTTTTCTCGAGCAAGAGTGACTACAAATGTTCGTTTTAATCGTATGTGTGAAATTTGAATGTGTGAGCGCATCGAATTAGTAGCTCCAAGTATCGAGCAATTAGATAATAAAGAGAGAGGAGACAGGCTGTGTAAGATATTGGAAAGAAGAAAATTCAAGCGTTTATGTTGCATTGTAGAGTGCGAACAAGGCGAAAGTGATGAGATCGACCGGTAGCGCGAAAAAAAGGTAATCACATGATTTGACAGGCGCTAATCGCTCCAAATAATTACAGGACTAAATCAGAGGATCGCTCCAATACACATTCTCTCCTCTGTTGATCAACTAGTAAACATGATACTTCAGACTACTTCTGTACTTTATCGTTTACATCATTTTGGGAAGCCAAATAATTAGGGTAAAATCATCTGTCGATCATGGGGGCTTTGTACGCGTGGCTCGTAACTTGTGTTGGATCGTATTAATACAGCGTAATAAACGTGGCAATGCTGAAAATGATTCTCGTCGGCATCCCTCGACGAAGCCTCGTACATCATCCAGTGCAGAACCCCCAACCTCTCCCCAGTTCCCGTCTCTCAAGGTGGGAGGCCTGAAGTGTTAGACGACCATGATAAGAATGTCTGGTCAGAATCCGAAAAGGCATGCGAACCAACAAAAGCCCTTGAAGAAATTACTGAAGACTTATAGATAATTGGCTAATCCGGTCAGTTCAAGAACCGTTCAAAGAAAGAAAAAACCCATAATCACCGGGCCTAATCGCAAAAAAGTCAATGAGAAAAGAATGTAAAGATAATGGAATAAAGTTATATTTAGTGATGAATCTCGAAAAACACGACAACTGTACGCTGATCTGTGCTTCTATCGCGAGGGACTTTTATTCACAACAAGCGCTGATCTGTGCTTCAGTGGACCATTGCTCGGTGAAAAAAAAAATTAACATTTTTATCCACGGCATAAGAGCCATGCTTGTAAGAAACGCAAAAGTGACCAACAGTAACAGTATAGAAAATCGAACTCTAGAATCAATACCACAAATGCTAGATAAAGTTTTCTATATTAACTTGATCGTGTGTGCGTCAAAAAGAAATTATATCGGGTTTCATTACTTGAATGAAACACCTTCAGATATGGCTTTGGACTGTTGCAAGCATTTTATGTCTTCTTTTTGATATTTTTAAAATTGTCTCTCTACATGTATTAGAATATTACAATGATTGTAAATGCTATTTATCACGTCTCAAAATCCCCATAGTATACAAGTTTGCTAATTTATTGCCCAAAGGTGTAAAAGTATCTACAGTTTATATTTAAGACAAGACGCGGATAACTTCAGGTCTCGCACCTTCGCGTCATCAATTTCCCGCTGTTATGCACTTTATCATAGCTAACCATTTAAGGAAGTTTGTGTTCAATTAAAAGTCGGAAAACCCGAGATAAGAAGTTCGTTTAATGACTACAATTTAACCTTGGACAACAGAAATTTTTCGTAGTTTTAAAACGTACGAAATCAGTGGTTTATTCACCTTCATACAGACGGGTGAGACAACTAAAAGTGACTTGTCAATTCAGACGGTGTGTTTCGGTTATATTGGTTTCTCGGTTAAAAGTAATGAAAACTCTAAAGCGAATAAAACTACATAATTATACACAATACTCAAATGTCCTCTATTCTATATATTTCATTGCCCTCTCCCCTTTCCCGACTCTCTTCCAACCAACCACCCTTTTCTCCATTGTGGACAAAGAAATGGACTCTAAAATAGATATCATACAAAAAGGAAATAACAAAATTTTGTTTCTAAAAGGTTTTGTCTAAAAGAATTCTGCTTTTTTGTCACCGAGATTCAGTAAATCATACAATGATTCCTGCCCTCGGGTTGTCTCTATCAAAAAAGTTCTATTTTTTTCCCTCCCCACACCCCCGATTTTGTATCCGTTACAGATTAGTTACAGTCTGACATTTCGCGCATTGTACGAAAATAGCCGAGAGAGTGGATTTACCAAGACGAATGCGGACGTGAATGACACACGTACAAGCCAATAAGCAAGTGTAAATGTTGTCGGGAGTCGTCAAAGCGAGACGTATGGAGCGAATACTCGTCGTATTCTGTCGTGTTGATCGGGTACGTCGATGAAGCAATGCATAAAACAGTCTGTCATTTCTCGGGTATTATTGGATTTACGTCTTGGTAAAAAAAAAATGTCTTTTTTTCGTCAACGAAAAAAAAAACTTATTTCATATCCATCCTCGACTCTCATAGTATCGCTGGCGTGCATTCTCATCATCTGAATCCAGTTTGACGTGACCGTTGTTCAAGGCATAGCCATATCGAGCGCTTGTTGATCCTTCCGCTTGGACATTGTCCAGTTCTTCTTCCCGATCATCAAGATAGTCTTGTTGCAATTCATCTTGCATGCTGACTAGCCGCTCTTCCAACTCTTGACGATGTTCTAATGCATCATAGTTTTCATCTTGCACTGCGAATGTAGCATTCCCACTAACCATCCTCACAACGCCGCTTCCACCTACGCCGGCACCGTTCATGCTATAACGCTTGCTTTCACGGAACGTTTTATCCTGCATCCGCTTGCTCTGCGAGATTCTTGACATCCGCCATTCTTCAATCTTTAAACCTTTCCGCTCACTCTCTAGCGCAGCAGATCGTAGAGCAATTTCGTTTCTTGATATAAAGTTCCGAATGACAATGTCTTTTTCAATAGCAGCATATTGACTAAAGTCAATTCTGATCTTTACTTTATGCTTTACAGTGATATACATGGTATTCACGTCAAACGTAACGCCGTCGGTTGGAGTCACAAATACCACGAACCCTTCCTTGTCAGGGCCAGGCAATATTGCAATGTCCTCTCCACGAACACGTTCATGACGAATATATTTTTTAGACTTGTTGACGATTTGGTCGTCATCAATGTGACAGGTTCTAATCTCTTGCAGACCAAAGGAGATGGATTCCACTTTTACTCTCGGATCCATGAACAAGAGTTTAACCGAGACCATTATGTGGTTATCCGGGCCGAACAAGGTCTTGTTTAGGGTGATTTCCCAACCGAGCCCTCTTTGGATAGCTGCAGCGTCATTCCAAGAACTCCATCGTATGGGAATCTCTGAATTTGGTTCTGCAACGCTCCAACTCTGAGCACTTCTGTCGTCATCTAACACGGCTGGCTCTTCGGCGTATTTTGTAAGCCATAGTCCGACCTCGACTTCTTTGATACGACTAAAATGGAGGGCTCGTCGGCTTTTTCGGGTTATTATTGCTCGCAGTCGATAGGAAATCACGCCTGCACATCGTCGAGATACAGCGAGGCTGGTAGATCTGTCGGGAGATTGAACGAGAATGGGATATCTAGGGAACGTATCTCTTCGTATCCTACCAGACACGTTTGCCAGACGCATATGCTCTGATTGCAGAATACGTTAGAGGCCATTCTATTTGTTGATTCGGATCTTTTGCGGCTAGTTGATTTAGTCGGTGTTTCGACGTCGGGGGTTTTTTCGGTCCATCGTATGCGTTCTTCTCCGATTAGGGATATGACAATGCTCTTGGCCAAACACGGGTCATTGTCGGGGAAGCGGAGATTAAGCATTCCGGAAACGGTTGCAGTATCTTCTACTCCAAAATAACCGGTCTGAAATGAGGCATGTCCCGCCAAGTATGAGAATGTGACTTTTGGTGTGTAATTTGCGTATGCGGATATTAAGGGACCTTTTTCGATAAAGGGTTCGAAAGTGATGGTTGGATGTCGTCCTGAGGTCGATGTAGCGCTCGCATGCAGGACAGAGTCTTTTGTAGCATTCCTCTCGCCATGGGGGTTGAATATTTTTGATATCTTGTTTTTGAGTCGACGAGAAAAGCCTTTTAGTCCCAGCATTTTTAAGCAAGATTTTCTACGTTTGTTTACTAGTTTTAGTGAAATGTATTAATTCACATTCGATAAAGAGAGGAAGTGGGGAGGGGAATTGAGTTTTCGAATGTATCATTTATAGAGTAGTTTTATTAAGAGAGGCTTTTTTTACTCGCCGAGGAAAAAAATGGATGAGAAACAGTCTATGAGCGTTGCATTTATTTAGACAATGATGTCACTAATCAAAAAGAAATATCTAAACATGGGGTTGCGTTACGATTGTGTAAGCAATAGATGATTTACGGGATATTCGGGGGATGGGGGACAAGGATACAAAAAAGGGCATAGGGTGGGTTACTTTTTTCTCGATCGGAGAGAATGGGGACGCGAGTACATGATTTATAAATAACGGTCGGAAAAGAAAAAGGGGGTTTATTTTTCCGGACATATGCTTAACTCCGATCGAGTTATTTTCCATACCGATATGTATTTCTTTAATCCCCACCCCCAAAGCTGTTGTGAAATGATGCAAAGTAACACGTTCATGGGCTTGATCATGTCGATATATGGTAATTTGAAGCACATGTGATTAGATGCGATCGTCGATATCTGTGGACAAAAAAGGAAAGGCAGCAAAAATAAGTTACATTATTGTCTGCAGTACCAAACTCTTTACGGGATAGCCGTGAGTACAAAAGCAAAGATTGTTTGGTCATAGTTGGTAATCCGATTGACTCGATGGAAATGGTAGGTTTGATGCAGATGGATGTGGATGATTAATGATGGGCTGGATTGCTGGGAACAACGAAAAAAAACCAACACTCTCAACTCGAGCTTACAGCTAAAAGGCGGGGAAATAACCGAGGTTTCATGCATGCTGTACGTAAATCTTAATTATGCGCAGTGCATTGCAGGATCTTTATTGGCTCTAAACAGGCAAGAGGAGGGAAGGAGTGGGTGAGTGAGGTGGGAGTGAGTGAGTGAGTGGTGACAATAGTAAAGTAGAAGAATAGAAAGAGCAGCATGCGATTGATACTAATACAGTATGCATGCATGTAATTAAGATGCACTGTTACTTGCAGCTAGGTAAACGTTCGTTTCTCTTAATCGAGTAGTTTTCATGCTGTCAGCTATATATTGACTAATAAAGAATATGCGCACGCACTGGGCACTGTCAGCTGGACGACACTAATTAGTCGATGCAATTAACATGATTAATCTCTTTAGCAAAAAACCGTGGACATTTATTTACATTATAAATGCAACCAACTGATATGTCACAAATTATAGAAGAATCACCAAGAACATACATATCCAGCGAAGCAATTAAGATTGTGTTTTGGGAGAGTGATCAATAATGTGTACAACTAACAATTTAGGCGACTAGCAATATAACACGGCAGCAAATTAGCAGAGATGTATTGTTCACATGAAAGATTTCAGGGGTCGATTTTATGAACACCATTTTTAGTGCAACAGTAAATTTTAATTAATTAACAGAATCATACTAATACTAGACACAATACTTGCGCGCGCTGTACGCAGTTCAGATTTGCTGCAAGTTTAATTAGTTTTTCATGGATTTCAATTTCTAGCCGTTCTTGTAATCGTAAACGCTTTAGTACTTGCTATTCAACCGCATCAAGTTGCAATGTCCAGTGACTACAAGGAAGCAGTAGAGGACAATGTATACACTTGGTGTACATTCTTATGGTAAGGCTTGTATTGCAGACTTTGTACATTTGTTTCAACAAACGCAGCTAAAATTCTCGCTTTATGTTATCCCGACACATTAACCAGTTATTTTGGCACTTGTTATTCAAATCGTATAAATCGTGGTACAGCATTTATCCGGGATTTATATACCACAAATATATTATTTCCAGTATTTCTGTTTACAACTTCATAAATTACAAAAGTATCAAGTCATTATACCGATACGGACCGTTAAAAATATTTCCAATAACCATACATAGATTAATACCAAAAACTGTACCTTCCCCGTTATTGTCGGATATAAGGTATGATGGTTCCTTGTTTTTGTGATCTTTTATCATGTCAGCGTTCTCAAAAAGGTTTTCTAAGACGGGCGGTAGTTGAATGATTGGACACACAATAAAGTATAATTGGCGCCAGTATTAGTATTAGCTTTTTTGATTGATGCATGTGATTGCAGTTAATCATCATACTAATACAGTCGACGCTTACATAAACCAATGTTCGTCTTTTGTATTGAAGGTCCCCAGAATTTTTAGGGGATTCGACATTCATCCACTTTCAATTCACATTCGAGGGAATTGAATCAAAGAAAGGGGAAATGATCGATCAACATAATCTAATATCGATCGACAAGGAAACTATATGTATATGCAGAGGACGAGAGTGACCCGTGCAGATTAAAATTAACACATGTTAATCCAAGACAATACCAGATAAATTTAGTTCCCCCTTTTGCTGACGCATATATTAGGCAACTGATGTGATGCTACACGTTACAACGTGCGTGCCAATGCGAGATTATGCAATCGATCCGCCAATTAATAGATTATTGGCAATGTAGTTAAGATGTTGAAAGTATGGGGGATGTTACGGCCTCTGCATTCAGCAGATCATGGTTTATTGTTATTGTGCTTCTGACCAATGGTAATATCGTGATTAACGAATAAGTAAGATATACTTTATGTTAATATGGGACATGCCCCACAGATTATTTTCAACTATACCACATTTTGTTTGTTGGAAAGACTGTTTGAGAATTGGAAATTGAGTACTGTCGGCTTTTTGTACTGTTGTCATTTTTAAAACATATAGATACATGATCAAGTTTGCATAGGCAATAGGCTTGTTCATGAATCTCAGTATTTCTTGGTTTATCAATATTTGGACAAAGAAAGATAAAAAAAAAGTACATCTGACAAAGATAAACTCGGTTTGCAAGTAATGTACAGTTTACAATTGGGTAAGGTGCTTGTATCTAATTCATGTTATTACATTGATATAAAGTCTATTTATTTGATATTAATGGTGATAGTAATAGTAATGGTCAGGGAACAAAACAACTATGTTACAAAATATTTGGAAAAAGCCCGCATAGTTACTTAATCAAGAGTTAGAGATATTTGTGCCTGCAACTAGTTGCAATCCAAACAGATAACGTGGTATAGGACTAATCTTATATAGAAATTTTAGAAAATAATTACATTAAATGTGCACAATTACATCATGTAAACTGTAAATTGCATTTACTATTAACATTTAAATTTAAATCTTATCAAGAAAAACTGACTTTTTAAGGAGAATGAAAAATCAGGTGAGGTGAGACTGTTTATCATTTTATTATTATCACCACTGTAATATGGGGCGTGCTGCAACAAACCCAGATAAAGTGAACATTTTAATTTGACATGTGAGCTAGAAGAGGCTGATGTGGCTGAAATATTAACTAATAAAGACTTTGCTTTAGTGGCAGTTGTGCTTCATGTCTAAAGCCATGGACTAATTTCTGGTTCTAAATTTATATGCTAATTTGTCTGGATTTAATACTTCAAGGAAATATGACAACATGTAACTTGGTCAAGATAAACTTTTAATTGAAGTTATAACCTGTTTAATATAGGATTATCTCTATATAAAATATAGTATGAAACTAATTTACATCAACTAAAAAAATTGCGCCTTATGTTTTTAAAATCAATGATACCCAAACTCTCCAGGAATATCTATATAAGAAAAAATTACTTATGAAATTTATCAAGAAGAACGACCAAATAAACGAGCATCAATGCCAACTTATTATGAACCAAGAGTAAGAAAGAAACGAAAACTTAAGGAAAGTAAACTTAGCATAAAAGCCTCCACCAAGCGCTCGAGTGATCTATCAACAAAAGATTATTCCATATAGTTATACTTGGTAATAAAGGACTGCTTGAGCGCATTCGTTTTGCATTTCGCTACATTGATATAATTGTAACAAGAACATCAAAATTAAACAACAAAATTCAAACTAAATTCAGTATATAACCATTTGAGCTTTGACAATTCCAGGATTAGCTGCCTCAAATAAAAAATGGCGATATTTTTGCAAACCACTCAATTTCTTAAAGAAAATTCCTAACACTGAATTGAGATCTAAGCCAATTTTTCAGCCACAGTTGACAATAATATTCAAATAAACTTAAAAATGTCACCCGTACAACAATTAAATAGCAAGGTTAAAAGTAAACTCCGTTTTTGTGTGCGACAGTGGTGTGTGCGTGGGTAAGTGGGGGAGGGGTAAAATGATCAATAAATCTGACCTTCAGTCTGGCGTTTTGCATTAATATGATTTCACGTGAAATCAAAAACTGGTTCTTTAAGTTATCAATTATGATAGTAATAGCAGATTGTGCGTCTTGTCAATAATCATATAATATAGAACTTTATTTTGTCAATAATCATAATTATACAAAGGAAGCAGTCTAGCAAAAAAGGATACACAAACCAAATAAGGCAAAATTTCCCTAAAATTGTGAATCTTTCCAGTTTTCACATATCGACGCCCAATATGATACAGCAGTGGGCACTGTTGATATCATGACTTGTTTATCTTCGTTCAACCCTTGAGTACTGCTATCTTACTTCTCCGACGTGCACTTGAGTTTCGGGTCTCGTTAGAGCTTTTTTTAATGTCTGCATGCAACCAAGACGACCTTGACGATACCCGGATGGAATTATGGACTGTCACTATTAGCGTTTTGGTAAGTGACAACATTCCAACTCTTTCATGCGTATTACTCTTATATGCTATGCTGAGGGCATTTATGTTGTAAATCAATAATAATGAAGGTATCCACATTTCGAATATTGGTAAGCAAGTAGTGTCTCGGTTCAAGTGTAGACGTCTGCTATGACTATCGAGAGGATGATTCTCTGGTTGTTTCGCCAAATGGATACATACACACAGTGACTTGCAATATGATAACCTAACTGGATCTGCTATTTCAAGTATGTGATGGTATGGATACTCTCTTGATGAATCTAAATACCTGCCACACAGGTCAAGATGACAGGTAGAACAATAACAAATTATAAACGAACAACTTTTTTACTAAAAAGTAACCAAGTTATTATTTATTGATCTCATGATGAAATACTGCGAAATCCGTTAACTACAGCTACTTGCATCCAAATATTCGTCTATCCATTTATCATCTCCAAATGTGTCCAATTGTTGGCCCGTGATCTTATTCTTTGCGGTAATTGTCGTTGAAAAGTTACCAAACGTCAAAGACAATTCCACAGGTCTGTTTCTACCTAAATATCTGTCTGGCAAATCGATCGTCCAGTCTTTTATCTTGCGCACATTCTCACTTTCTATAAACTCTGGGTTATATTCTTTAGAGGCGTAGATGCTTAAACCTATCTTGGTTTGACGGGGGTGAGACGGGTAATATATTTGACGGAACTTTTGGTCTTGTTTTACTGAATCTCCCCGTCTTGCCAGCCTTGAAAATTTCATGACCATACGATTATCATTGGCACGACGAACTTCCATGTCGGTACCGTAAGTGTATCGAAGAACGCGTGACTCGATCACCTTGCTTGCCCCGTACGCATCAGAGTTGGCGTCATGGTCTATGCTGAGACCTGAATGAAAAAAAAATAATAACTGGTGAAAGATTCGTTCCTTTGAATTTACCAACGAATGAGTAAACTTTTTTTTACCGTATAGCGCCGCTCCTCTTACGACTGCTATGATTGGGGTGAGAGGACTATCAATTATCTGTACCTGTTCTTTAAACTTTTCTTTAACACAACGAGCGAGGTATGGGGAGTGACTATAAAATATAGAATGGATCAAGTTGGTTGCTTTCATATTTTCATGTTATGCCTATCATTAAATGAATTTCCCCTTCCCCTCCCACTCGCACTCCACTCGCACTCCCACTCTCACTCCCACTCTTACCTATACCCGCCGACCAGAAAAATGGCAGAACACTCTCCTTCGCATGCCTCCAGTTGTTTACTGAGTAATCGCAAAAGCAAGTTACTACCTGTTGAGCAGACATGTGTGTTAAGTAGCGAGCGAATTATGCATACTTTATAGATTTTAGTATTTCGCTGACTGATGGCTCAAACATGGCCCGAATATCCTTGAAAGTAAAGACGAGCCTCCAGCCCTTGTCTTCCAATTCCTTCCGCTTTTCTGCATCTTGCACTTCGTCCTTTAAGAAATCATAGGATTCCGTCAATTGTACTTTCTGATCCACGAAATTTTCTTCAACGTCAAATTCGAATTTTATGGGAGAGAATGTGTTTTGGATCAACCCAATAAATTCACCATAATACTGTTTGCGTAACTCCGCCATTCTTTCATGCGTAATCCCTAGCCTGTCGGCCAGAGCTTTGATAAACTCGTTATCAACTGTTGTACCTCCCCAGCTATTAAACGTGGATTCAGTCTTTTCTTCCAATTTCTTGTTTCCCAATAATTTCCGTGTCGTTAGATCGACTGTTCCACCTCCGCAGTCAACTATCATGAATTTTTCTGCGGTACATACACAGAATGAGTTATTGTCATTATAACCATCGTGCATCAATATAATCATCACGGAATTCTTACCGCCACTTTTAAGCCCGTGTGTATCCATTAGCGGAAAACAATCGATGGCAGCCGCCTCCGCTAAAAGTAAGTCACGCTGAGTATGTAGTTTGGGCATGAATTCGATTTGATTTGAACTTACGCTCATCTATGAAAGCCACGTTTTCTTTGCATTCCGCGTCAAACAGTCCCGCCTTTATAGCCCGTTCAAGCATAAAGCTTTGCTGTTCGTGTTTCCATCCCACTGGGAGGGTGAACACGAAATAGACTTGCTGGGGGTAATTAACGCCTGCAAACCAATGGTCAACATAGGGTTTGATATTATATTGAGTTTGGTTTTAATACCAATTAATCATACTCACTTGGCCATCGTCGTTCGATGTGGGGTTTAATGCGCTAATGAGATGAAAGCGTGTATTAGCCAAGTACATCAGATAATGAACAGCAGCAATTCGCAAATGGTAGTTTCCGTACATCTTTCATATATACGAGGAAATCTTCGACAGCTTTTTTGGGTTTAATTCCGCCGGCTAGGCTAGGCTTTTTTGCATCCTCAACTTTAAAGAGACGCATTTTGAAACAATCTACGAAATAATATTTTCCTTCGTCGCAGTCGTCTAACGGGCCTTCCGCATCACTGACTTCGTTTCCAACATGCGTGACATTAGAATCTTCGCCGTATGCCAACACTGTCGGGATCTTCCATCCAATTGTCTTATTAATGGATCCGCGAGGCCTAGAATTGATGCGAATTTTTTAGCTAATAAAAGATTATAAAACCATTCAAACAAGTCGTAAATGTTTTTTCATAGTCTTCTGACCACAAGCTGTATACTTCAACTTCTTTCGGATTCTCAACATGACCGACCGAAAATCCCGAAAATGTTGTTCCAAAATCTACATTTAATGTACACTTGAACAAAACCACGAAATGGTTCTAACAGATAGTTGACACGAAATTGTCGTTAATAATCTTACCGATACCCACTACAACGCGAACGTCTTTGTCTTCTGATAAGAGTCGGATCATTTTTGTTTAATTCTTTTCGTCCTTGGCATTATAAATACATCTCTGTCTATTACTATTTGACGTTATGATCTGTTGCATAATGCACTAACCGCATTTAAATCAAAATGGTTTTTCGTGTGAATAATTCTCAGGTGTGTTACGTCAACGATTATTCAAACTCTTGTCATGAATGACGATGGTTGTTTTCCCCGCCGAATTTTCTCACGTAAACACCGCTAATCATATCGAGGGGCAATTCTACAAAGATACTAGTGTCCCAATCACAAAATATGATCGATCGACTACTTAATGTGTCCAAAGAGCCATTCAGCTGATGTTAATTTTCAAAGAAAAATAATGGGTCAAAATTCAGGAAACTTGAATAATGATGTTAATAATGTTGTTAACGATCAAGATTTTCGACATGAATCGGAAACCAATGTAAGGACTTGCAA